AAGCGGGGGGGGGGGGGGGGGGGGGAGAAATTTCCTCAGGCAGCCACAGGCGTAGCAGTCGACTTGTCGTCCTCGGCAGCACCAGTCTTGACCTTGTCATCCCCCTCCTCACTGCCGCTGGGGAAGTGGTGCTCCGAGGTAGAGGGGGTCGTGTAGGCGGCCGACTCGTCGAGGCTGGACCGGTTACCCGTCGCGCCGGTGGCGCCAGTGTCGATGGACACGCGGCTGTCGTCCCCCTGCTTGCCATCCTCGTCGTCGGCGGGGGTGACGACGAACCCGCCGGGGATGGAGGCGGCGACGTCGTCGGCGGTGGAGCTGCCGTCCGCCGTCGGGAGGTCGGAGTCCTTGCCTTCCGTCTTGACGTCGACGTCGGCGGCGCCAACCCCGGCATCAGCATCCTCCTGCTTCTGCTCGGCCTTGTCGGCAGCGGAAGCAGCATGCTTGGCCTCGGCAACCTTGGCCAGCGGCGTCTCGGGGCTGACTTCATCCGCGGCGGCAGCATCCGTAGTGACCCGTCGTATGTCCAGGACGAGAGGGGTGTCCTGCTGGTCATCGTCGTCGAGGCTCTGGCCCGCAGGGGGCAAGGGCGTCGTGGGCTCGGCGGGGGAGCGGGGCTCCTCGGGGCTTACGAAGCCGTCGGCAGCAGCAGCGCTCTGCCTCGTCGTCGTCGTCGCCGGCTTTCCCTTCTCAGCACCGTCCGCGACGACGTCCTCGTTTCCGCTCAGATCCGAGGCGAGGAACTCCTGGTACAGAGGTGAGTAGGGGCCGCGCAGGCTGGAGCCGTCACCTCCGCTGCTGAGCTCGCTGCGGCTGGCGACGGATCCGCGGGCCGGGTTCCTCGTCGGGAGGGGCGGGGGGATGCGCTTGGGGATGGTCACGACGTTACCCCTCGCCTGGATCATGCGTGATGCCACGGCCTGGGTGCGTGCGGGCTGGACCTCGGCCACCTCGAAGACGACGGGCTCCTCCTCCTCCTCCTCCTCCTCTTCCTCGTTCCCTGAACCGTCGCTGCCGTCGCCGTCGTAGTTGCTCGAGGCTTTGGAGATTTGGTCGGCGTCGGTGGGGAGGGGAAGCTTGCTGTCATCGTCCTTGCCACCCTCCACGGCGGCGGCTCGTGAGGCGAGGTTCTCGGCGCTGCTGTCGCGGGGCGGCTGGCTGAGGTGCTTGATCGGGGTGGTGTCGACGGTTGTGTAGTCGACCTCGTCGGCGGAGGAGACGTCGTCGTCCTCGTCGCGCTCCTTGATGTCGGCGACGAGGCCGGGCGAGGTGACCTGGAAGGCGTGGCCGTCCTCGCTCTCTCCGGGACCGGGGCTGGTGCCGGGGGTGTCTGTCGAGGCGCCCGTGTCGGTCTGGGTGTGGGCGTCGGTCATCTGACTCTTGACGGTGCGGGTGGACATGTAGCTCTCGCGGTTGCTGCGGGAGAGGAAGGTGTCGCCGCTCTGGCGGTTGGCGCTGTAGTGGCGCCTGGAGAGGGCGGTGGTGGAGCTGAGGGGGCGGTTGCCGTTGGCGGGCTGGAAGTCGAGCTGGCTGCTCACGGGGCGGTAGGTGGTTCCGGCCTCGCGGATCTCCATGCCGGCCATCTCGAGGGCCAGGATGCCGAAGGGGTCGGGGTCGTCGACCTGGGGGTAGCCAAAGGGGCCCCGCGGGCTCTGAGGCGCGGAGACGGGCGAGGCGATGTTCGCGTCTCCGGGCGCGGGTTCGATGGCGATCTTGGCGACGGCCGTCGGGTCGAAATCGGACCTGCCCTCGGCCAGCTTGATGACCTCGGCAAGCGGTCTGGTCTCCTCGACGTCGCGGGCGACGTTTCCGGACAGTATGTCCATCTGGGAGACGGGCGCTTCGTAGAAGCGCTCGTTCTCGTTGGCCCGCTCCGTCAGGATGCACCCGTGCATGTTCACGCTCTGGGCGTGGCCCCTCGACTTCATGTAGGTGAGGACGGTGTTGTCGAGGTCGCGGAAGCTGAAGTCGTCGTCGACGAGGCCGGCCCGGCTAGCGTCGAGGGCGGCCAGCGGACCGGCCATGAGGCCGACGTCCTCGCCCAGGGTGACGGTAGAGCGGGTGATGGACTCGAGGGCCGATAGGCTGCTTATGACGAGGACGCAGTCGTAGACGTCGACGCCCATGATGAAGCTGAGGGTCGGGGTGTGCAGCATGATGCCCGAGGGTGGCGACCAGGTGCCGTCCGATTTGCGGGCGATGAGGATGCCGGAGCCGCCGGAGCCCGTCATCCACAGCCCACTCCTCATGCAGGTGAAGACGGCGATTCCGGCGGCGTTTTGGATGATGCGCTTGGGTATCTTTTTCGAGATCTTGACCGGCGTCTTGGGGGGTTTCTGCTGTTGGATATCGGCGTCGTCGACGTCGGCTTCGTCGTCAGGTATGCTCGTCGTCGGCTCATCGTCATCGATGGGTGCTAGGAAACCATCGGCTGTTGGGAGGGGCCAGAAGCGAAAAAAAGAAGGAGGAAAGTCAGCACGATGCGCACTCTGCACAGTCGATCGATCGAGGGAGAGAGGAGGAGGAGGAGGAGAAGGGGTCTTACCACAGAAGGATTTGATGATGCGAGCAGCCTTGTCGCACTCGAGGTCGAGAGTTGCGGGCCAGAAGGCTTCGCGATGGATGCGAGTCTGGATGGGGCCCTGAAGGGATCTTGTGCTATTCCTATTGGACTTGAGGGAGTTGGTGTCGGGGTACGATTTGGTGAGGATGCTGGCGCTGCTGGCCCTCTTGGACCATGCGAAGAAGCCGCCGCCTCCGCCTGTAGTCGATGATGTGGTGGCACTAGAGCTGGAAGCCCTCCTGTCCCACGAGGGGAGCAGGGAAGAGACGCGCTGCATGGTCGACTGTGAGGAAGGTCGGCGGATGGATTGATGCCTCTCCTTCGTCGTTGTGGTGTAGTTTTCTTGTCCGGGGAGAGGGAGAGGGGGGAAAAAAAGGACAGACGGCAGAAAGAGAGAGGGGAGGGGAGGCAGTAAAGGAGCAGGGGTTGCGAAAGGAGGCGAGAGGAGGGGGAGGAGAGGATGTCGATAAATGAATGCAAGAGAGAGAGGGGGAGGGAGAGGGAGGGAGAGAGAGAGAGAGAGAGAGAGAGAGAGAGTGTGTGTGTGTGTGTGAGTGAGAGTGCGTGTGTGAATGAGAGAGAGATGACGAGTGTTCAGAGAGGAGTGGAAACCATACACCCTCGCCCTCTCTCCCAAGGGGAATGAACCCTCGGAGTGGGGGAGCGGGAGGCACGGGAGGGGGTGGCGTGCCGGATTGAGGAGATATGGTCGGATGACGGGGTTCTGTCCAGGGATGGGTCGTTTGTTCTGTCTGTACTGGTATAAACCCGGTAGAGTGGTGAATCCGACGAAGCTGAGGTGGATTCGCTCAGTCTTTGCGATCCGAGGAGGAATCGTGAATGAAGAAGGTGGTGGTGGGTGGCGGTGGTGGTGCTGCTGCTGCCGGCCCTCGCAGCCCTGCTGGGTCTTGTTGATCGGTTGGAGAGATTGGGAGAGGAAGAGATAGATGGAGGAGGAGGATGAGGACAAGGGAAGAGGAAGAGGAAGAGTGCTGAGTGGATGGATGGGGCAGTACGAAGTTGGACGAATATGGCAGTAGATACACAGAGTACGAGTACGTACGAGCCAGTATAGTACAGTATTACTATGGACTGGTTATTATATGTGTGTGCTCCGTACTAATACTCCGTACATGTATGAGAGTAGCAATGCCCTTACTAGTATAGTAGTATTAGTGATGCTCCTCCTGAATCTTTTTTTTTTCTTTCTTTTTTTTTTTCTCTCTTTCTTTTTTTTTTCTTTTTTTCTTTCTCTCTTCTTCTCCCCTCCCCCTTTTCCTTTTCTTTTTTTTCTCGGTAATGGCGTGTTGCTTGATATTATTGCTTGATTGACTGTCACTCTGTACATCCGTCACTCGTAGAGACCCCCCTCAATTATTTGGAGCCGCCGTGCCTCTGGTATGTACATATATTGCAAGTTTGATGGTAATGAAATGTATGGAGTAAAGATACGGGAAGGAGAATGTGAGAGTTTCTCGGTGGAGAATGCTCCGTGTATTACGAGTAACGAGCTCTCATGCTGGGCCGCCATGACGGCTGGATGGTCGGGGGTCTTCTTCTTTTCTTTTCTCTTTCTTTTTTTCTCCCCTTTACTCTTTTCTTCCCTTGATCCTTTTCCCTAGAGTATTCATACATATACATCAGCAGGGTTACTGCTGATCTGTACAGGGCCAAGGGATAAAACGGTCATTGCTAGTCCGTACCTGTATCCGTACCCTCCCCGTACTCCGTACCGCAACTCCATTCACCTTTCCCCACCCTTTTCAGCTGAATCGGATCGAGTGAATCTCAGAAAGGGAAGACATGCACCATGTGCCATGGGTAACGTACGGGTATGTGGTATCATTGTCAAGGGCACTGGCAAACCAAGCGGTGCCCTTCGTACGAGTACGCGGCCCGTACGAGTAAGATCCCATGTCCATGATGCTACCGCTGCCGATACTCTGAATCTAATACTGGAGACTGTAAGAGATTTTTGACTTTTTCTGTTCCTGACGGCTGTCGAAACGCATATCTTTCATCGTCCCAATCTCCGTCACCGTCTGTTTTCCTTTCTCCGGTTAGAAGGGATCAGCTCTGGTTTGCTTGTACTCTACCTGTACGATAAATACTACCTACTCCACGTCCGTACACGCACGCACACACATACACACGCATACACATGCATACACACGCATACACGTATACACGCAAGTCCCAATCCCAATCGAGGCCCCCCAACATCGGCCTGAAATGCCCGTGCGTACATGTTGTCTCTGACAGGACTTCTTCCTCTCTCTCTCTCTCTCTCTCTCTCACTCACTCTCTTCTTCTTCTTCTTCTTCTTCTTCTGGTGGAACCGATCTGGAGGTTGTCGGTCATGTCACATGTACAGGATACATCGTCTGCAATCAAGCCATCGACTCCGCAAGTCCAACTCTCCGAGCCACCCATTCAGAAGCCACGTCATCTAGAGGCCACGAGTTGGAGGAGCAACTCTATCTCTTCATCTCTCTTTCTTCCTAGTCTCCCTCGGCTTCCTCGTCCCTGACTCTGTCCTTGTTCCTTCTTGTTCCTCGTCCCCCAACCTTGCTAGCGAGGCTCCTGGTCACGGTCGGTACCTGTCTCGGCTCCTTGCATCTGCTCGTACAAGTACGTGTGTATCAGCGCCCCGTTTCCATCCCTTGCATCCCCCCAAAGGTGGCAGCCGGTTGGTCTGCCATCTGCTGTACGGGTACCCGTACTCGTATGTTTACCTGGCAGTACGGCTGTAATCTGTACGAGTGCTGGAGAAGTAGCGCTCGTACATGTACTTCCTATACCCTCTTATATGTAGTATACCACCAGCTTCAAATCACTGGACGTCCGTGGCAGAGAGATCCTACTACTGTGCATCATCTTCCTGCCCTACAATGGGATATCACATGCATTCCGGCGTAAAGTCAACCAGGACGGTGTTGATTACATCTTGTCAATCCTCTGTCAATCCTCTGTCAATCCCTTCCCCGATTTTTTTTATTTTTTTTTTATTTTTTTTTTGTTTTTTGGTTTCTACACCACATCCAAATGACCGTAGAGGTACACATGACTACTCGTATCGTTTTCGATGTTCTTGTTTCGATACTCTTGTTTTCGGTATTCCTGTCTCCTTGTTGATTCTCCCCTGTATTCTACCTCGACCTCTCGTTTCCTAAACAAAACAAAACAAAACAAAGCAAAAACAGAAAATTTAAAGAAGCTGTCTGTGACAGATTGAGACACTCAGACTCGACCATCATATGCGCTTCATACCAGGACGCGCTTTCTTCTTTCTTCTTTCTTCTCCTTCTTCTCCCAGCATCTCTTGCAGCTCTGAGCTGCTGACCATACTAAGCTACTATCCGTACACTATAATAACTGTCTCACCTCCTGTTCCGCAATCCATAGTCTGCATTAGATAGATGTCTTGGGAAGCGTGCGTTCATGTTGTTTCCTCGTCTTATTGCCATTTTTCGCCTGTTTCGTTTGATTTATATCATGTCAGCACGTCATCTCTTTCATCTTCACCCTCTGTATTTTATTTCTAGTTTTCTGCTGATTCGCTTCTCCCATTCCTTTTTCTGATGCCACCATACCGTTAAACCTTTTCAGTCACATATATCACCACTCGGCAATGCAGGTAGACTATATAATATGCCCTCACACTCACTTACCTGTATATATATATATATACATCATCGATATACTAATACATACTAGAATACACCCTCCCATAGTTGCACCTATAAAACCCCTACTTTTTTTTTGATCACCTCGTATTCACCTATACACCTGATACTACTTACCATATGGGATTCACCTAGTCTATATCTTGATTGCTAGTAATATACAACATGAATCCGCGACGACATCTTCAAGCATCTCACCCCGTTCCTTTGGCTGTCCTCCTCTCGCCAACCAATCAAACCCACAAAAAGTGGAGAACATCCCAATTCTTGCCCCCCCCTCCCAAACCCCAGGTTCCGTAGATATTACCAGAAGAATTATAAAGAATAAGAAAAATAAAAAAGGGTCATCCATCTCCGAGACTCCCCACGTAACGTACGAGTAAAGTTATTGCCATCGCACACGACAACAAAAAGATCACAATGCTCAGGTACGATGCTATCCTCATCATTTTCTCTCCTTCTACTTCTTCTTCTTCTCCTTCTTCTTCACCCTCACCCCCAAATCTTGACCCTCACTCCAATTTTCGCCCCCAACGCTCTCCTCAGACTCACCCCTTGCTGACGCTCGCTCGCTCACAGATCATTCAAAAATCTATCCCCAAAGACGCGCTTGGGCGTCGGTCTCGCCATAATATCCTGGGGTCTGGCGGGCCCTTACCTGTCCGACGCGGCAGAGTCCCGTATGGGTCTCACGCCTTCCGAGAGGGACAAGGAGGAGCTGGATAGGATGACGCCTCACATCACCGTCGTCGATGCCAAGAGTGGCACGATAACCACGGCTACGACCAAGTGAATGCATGCACACACACACACACTTCACTTCGCATTGTCGGAGATGTTTTATTGCACATGTATACAGATGGGAAGCATGCTACACATGTAAGATACCACGGCGAGATGTGACATCACATAGAAACATGACGAGAACCTTCATATCGACAGGCCCTAGCAGACCGCAATATTTTCATACAATGTATAGAAACAAACACACGCCTGGACCCTTCTTCTTTCACCTTATCCTCTCTCTAGCCACATCCTCTTCTTCACCCCAAAGAAAAAAATGGCGAGATCAAGAAGAAACTGGAGAGACAACGAGAGTAAGAAGAACCATCATCTATCATCAGAAAGTCTAGCAATGCAGTTGTCCAACTCCACTTCCAGTTCTCCCCGCCCCCTTTCCTTCCCGGTCTATCTTTTTTTTCTCAACAATGCAGTGCGGAACAGAAGGAATAAAACCAAAACAAGATAAAACCAAAAACGTAAAACAAAGGGGAGGAAAATCAAAAGGTTCGGAGAAGATGTTTATAATAAAAAGAGGAAAGCCCCCACCGGTGAACCGCCCGTTTTAAATGCACGAATAATGTGGTAGGAAGCACACACACAAACCGCCCCAGACGTAGCATTTTTTTCTGTTGCCTTCCAGTGTCCTTTTGCGGCTCATGGCCCATATCTCCACTCTTCTCTCATCATCATGGGATGGCAAGAAACGAAAAGGAAGAGGGTAAAAGGGAAGACGTAGGGAACAAAAAAAACCGTTCAAATCAATACTCACGCGTAAACGCAAAGATAGGATCAAACAAGAAAAATTGCGCAGCCACAAAACAAAACCAAGAGCCCAGTAGCTCAATAAAACAACGCCTTTCGAATGCAACCCCAGGGGCTCCCTCTGTCGTTTCTTGCCAGTCAAGAGAGCATTGCTTATCACCCGCATATTCCCAGTGTTTTTTTCCGTCATGACTGACGCAGCTTTCTGCCCAGTCTCCCATCCACCTTCGAGGCAGTCATCTGACGAGTCTTGCCATGTTCCAATGTTCAATCTGTAGTGCCATAAATCTTCGTCACTGTCCTCAATCAATCCCTACTCTTTCTTTTCCCTTCGACGCTTGAACTGTCGATATCTATCGAGTTCGAAACCACTTCTGCATCCCAATAGGTGTTGGGCGTGACCAGCGTCACCGATAGTTGCCGAGAGGCTCCGGGGTCCACCCTGTCGCCAACACCGCCTTCCCCCGCCATCATGTGGGGCGTTCCCCAATCGCATGCGAGGCTCTGGAGTCCCTCGGGAAGAAGACTTGGAGGTCTCCCCTGTCCGTGGCGTCCCCTTCCAGCATGCATCGCTGCAAGCAGGTGGTATATCGAGGTCGTGTAGCGGCGATGTCAGGCTCGTGTGGTGCCAGCATATGCGACGTTGTGCGCAGGAGGTGGTATAGAAGATGAAAGGAAAAGAGTAAGGTCAAGGTAAGATGGCAGTCCAGAAAAAAATCATGATACGAATCATTCAACATAAGAATGGCAATCCCCAGTCCGCTTCGAGTGCGGCGGAGCTGCACCGCAGCTGCAGCCGTCTGTAGGGCGCAGCTCGCAGTGATCAAGCACGGTTTTGGTTACGGTCTGCGTCTATCCAAGATTAGCATGTGCTGGGCGCCTGCCAGTCCCTTGATTATACGCACCAGCCTGGAACATCTGGGACCAGTCGAGACTGGATTGTTGGTTCGAGTTCGAGCCGCCGTACATGGGCATGCCGTTCTGGCCGGGAGGCATGCTGTAGCCGGGCATGGGCTGATTGCTCATCGAGGGCGCGACATCGTTACTGCCGTAAGGCTGGGGAGCACCGCCCATGACGTGACCGCCCATGGCCCTACGGTCAGAGCCGTTGGTGTTGTCCATCCTGCCCATGCTGTTGGAGCGCGAGAGGTGATTCTGGTCCGAGCCCATGTTGTTCATGCCGTCCGAGACGGGCACCATACCAAAGGGGTGGCCCATATTATCCTGAGGGGGCATGTTGCTGAGCCCGTTGATCTGGCCGAGGTCGCCCTCGGGACCCAGGGCCTTCTGGGCATTCTGGCCCTTCTTGACGTGAGCCTGCGGGTGCGACAGGTGGCTGACGCCAGTGGGGTTGCCGCGACGAATCGAACACTTCTGGAAGTGGCGCTTCAGAATGTCGCTACGCGAGAAGGTGTCGCGACAGAGAACGCACATGTAGGGACGGTCGCCAGTGTCTGGTGAGCGCGTAAAGGTCAGTCTTAAGCGTCAATGGCCTGTCCAGGCGACTCCCGGCGCGCAACTGACGGTCGAGAACTTTCCAGGACAGGCCGGCAAGAAGGGTCGGGGTGTACTTACGGCGCAGGAGATGGCGCTTCAAGTGCTTTGCGTGGAGGTACGTCTTTGTGCAGTGAGGGCAGGGGAACTTTCCGTCAGCGTCCTTGATGGGAACGATGGCGCTCTTGGGGGCACCGCTGCCGGCGGTAGGAGCGGCAGGACGGCCGGGAGCGCTAGGGAGAATACCCCTGCGGCCCTGGGAGCCGACGACGTGAGTAGGCTGTTCTCCCTCGGGGACCATGGGCTGGGGCTGCATTAGCGAGCCGCCGGGACCGTAGGGCGACGACATGCCAGTCTGCTGGGACATGATGCCACCGGGAGGCATGGGTCGCAGAACGGGAGGAGCGCGTCCACCGGCGGGAGCCGGGGCGATGGGCTGGGGGCCTGACGAGGCCGTCGAGGCCTGGGGCATCATGGCGCCCGAGTTCGGGTATCCAGGCTGGGGAGGGTACTGGCTCTGGGGAGGCATCGAGTAGAGGCCGCGGCTGGCGCCAGGCTGCGATGTCTGCTGCTGATAGCTGGGCAGGTTGTTCGTCGAGCTGGGCGTGTTAGGCGTGCCAGGCGTCCGCGGCGTATGCGGGTTGCTCCCGTACATGGTGGGCTGCATGTTGGAGGCGGGAGGCTGCAGCGGAGGCAGCGTCTGGGGCAGAGGCGAGCCCTGAAGATGGTGAGGCGAGATGGCCGTGGGCGAAGGATATGTCTGAGGCGCCGAGGTCGTGTTTATACCATTGGAGGAATGGTAGTAGGAGCCGTCCATAATAATGCAGGCGCGGGTGGTCAATGGGCGCGCCGAGAGTAGATGCGGTGGAGACGACAAGAAAAAAAAAAGGTGAAGCCGTCGTGAGATGGATCAAGAGGTTACGCGACTCCACGAGATGAAGATGTAGACGCGATGGAGGGGAGGGGGGGAGGAGCCAAGAGGAGACGCGAAGTAAGATCCGCAGGTGGATGCAAAAGAGCGGCGAGGGTCCCAGGGAAGTGGGTGAGGCTCGTGGCAGGTCCCTCTCTTTGTTGTGTGTGCGTGTGTGTGCGTGTGTGTGTGTGTGGTGGTGGTGTTCGGAGGGAGCCTTTCTCTGCGAGTGGAGAAATGGGTCTTGTTGCTTTTGTTTTTTTTTCCTCGTCTGCCCTGGCCGAAAGCGCACGGGCTGATGATGACCGGGTGTTTAGTTGGCCAGGGGGAGGAGAAGACCGTGTAGGGGTGTGTGGGTGGGTATTGTACGTGTGCGAGTACGGAGTACGTATCCTAACAACGCAAAAGCCGCAGGGTGGAGATGGAAGAGAGAAAGGGAAAGGAAAGCGAGGAAGAGAGAAGGATAATAGCCGTTGGTGTGCTACCCGTTGCTGACAGTTACTCGTACAGCGTAGTGTGGATGTGGGTGGACACGCAGACTCGGACTTGGGTGGTGGTTCAGGTTGGCAAGTGGGCCTGCTGTGCGTTGAAGGAAGCCACAAAAGAAGGGGCGGGCGATGGGTCTCGATATCGACAAGTAGATGGGGAACGAAAGAAGCGCGTCTGAAGGATTGAAAGCAACTCGGAACACGCGACGCCGTTTCCCTTGGGATGATGGCAGGATTAAAAGAGGACCGAGATGGCAGGGGCGGCTGTGTCCATGACAAGATGAAGTTGAAAGAGGGAAGAGAGAGGGAGAAAAAAAGAAGAGAGAGAGAGAGAGAGAGAAGGGAAGGGAAAAAATAAACCCAAAAACAATAAAAGATAAAATACAGAAGGAGACAGCCGGTAGGAAAGCAGCTGAGTACAGAGGGCAAGTACCTACCTGGTCACCCACCCCCCCCCCCTCCTCCACCTCCACCCCCGAGCACCCGTGCCATTAGTCGTGGTACCGTGAGCGAGAAGATACCGCCACCGCTAGGAAGGGCTTTGATGGGTTCCAGGTTTACTTGGCACCCTGTTTACTTTTAGCAGCTGCCATGAGGTGGTTGCTGCTAACCTGTACGCTAAGAATACATGTACTCGTACTTCTGCCTCTGTAATGGTGCCTGCACGTGTACCTGTATAGAACCAATCCCTGACCGTACCCATCGGAGAGCCGCGGTAGCCTGTAGCCTGTAGGTACGATACAGTGGCTGTACTTTGGTCGGCCTGTATATTTCCTGATACAGCTATGTACAGGCGCCTGTTCCAGCACGATCTATGTATGCCCAGGCCACTGCCGGGATAAACAGACGCGACCTTGGCTTCTGCTCATGTACCGGTACCTTGATAGTCTGTCTGAACTGCGTCATGGCTCTTCCCCTCCTCTGCATGCAGCCTATCGTTGAAGTCGTATCAAGTATTTTTATTCTCGTTCTTCTTCTACTTCCTCGTTTCACACACACACACACACTCTCTCTCTCTCTCTCTCTCTCCCTCCTCCATAGCATCTGCGCGACTATTGGCATGTCGCATGTACTGACGACAACAATCATGGCTGCCTCTCACGATGCTCGGTGTTTGGTGTGTGTGATCGGGGCTCAACTCCGTTCCGTAGCCGTAGGATCATCACGGCTAACTAATGATACCTACTGAGTAATACTGTCAGTACCTGCCGTGATTATACTCACCCTCTCCCTCTCAAGTACGAAACTTGCGAGTGTGTAATCCCGAGACCCCAATAGCTCAAACCTGATCCCGGTTCCTCCTCTTCCCGGTTCTGCTATTGCTACGAGTACGAGGACTTGCCCGACCGCGTAGTCGTCCGTACTAGTATAATGCTCCGTCCAGTTGTCATGCTCCGTAATGAAGAGATAATAGTAATAATAATGATACCCTAGCTGCTAGCACCTGCAATATCAATCCGCACTAGAGATGTGTCGAACGTGATGAGATGTTCCTCCCGACACAGTCACGCGAAGCCTGGTCTTGGTACTGCTGGGTTACAACCCACGAGTAATACCCGTAACAGTCGTGCATCTCTCGACTCTTGATTCCCGTCCAAGAGATTTGCCATCATCATAATTGATGCGCGCGAGAGAGAGGACCCTTGTTCATGCTTAGCAGCTTTGTCTAGCAGCTTTGTACAAGTACGTCGTACGAGTAAGACTACGGAGCAATAATAGTAGTAGTGCTAGATGCCGCTAATGTCACCATGCTGAAAAAGAAAATCTCTGCCCATCAATGCATCAGGAGATTCTCTCTCTCTCTCTTGATTTGCCTCTATCCAACGGCAATATCCCGGTTCACGTACCGAGAACTGACTGGGTTTGTCGGGGTTTTGCCACGCCGGAAAGACAGCCGCCAATGGGAGGTGTGCATATCGCTTTGCAGAGAAGTATTCGTCGATTTGTTGGATATCATGGTACTTGAAAAGTCTGGGCTGCTAGTCTGGCGTATGTGCTGTGAGCTCCGAATGTCCGTGTATGTAACTCTTACCAGAAAAGAAAAGAAAGAGGAAAACGGTTGACCGCAATAGCAGCAACCATCAAACTGCAACCGGCCAGCATCATGTGCGCGTAAACTGCCATATGCAGACATTAGCGGTTTCGGCCTCATCACGGGAAAAAAGTCGAGAGTCGACGGAGTCGACGAGGGGGGGATAATCGTACAAGGGGTTTTTTTTTTTTTGCTCTCGAGGGGAAGGGGGTTGCACTAGTTAATTTCGTGCGCAAGTTGCAACGCACGTACACGTTGCTTCGTCTTTGTACTTGTACATCACGGCATTACCATGTTACCCCTAGGATCCTGCGTACGAGGTACGTACGAAGGGAGGGGGGAGAGGGACACCATTCGCGCGCAATAGCTCCCCCAAGCAGAAACGCGTTGGTCGCAAGTAGTTTAGGCACTTTTTAAAAATAAAATAAAAATCTTTCTTCCTTCTTTTCTTTTACTCTTTCCTCTCTCTCCCTCTCTCCCTCTCTCTCGTCCCCTAGCGGGGGTTTTTTCTTTCCCTTGCCGTTACATTATTTGACCTGAACCTGCCAACCTCGCGCAGAGTCCCTTGGCAAGCCTGCAGCGGGGGAGAGAACAGGAGAGAGAGAGAGAGCCGGAAGAGAGACGTCATGTGCCTTTGACGATGTACTCATACGTACCACGTTCTTCTATCAGTACCTACAAGTCTATATGTACGGAGAATAAAAGAGCAGCTAATAAACTCGGCAATCCTCATTCTTTTGATTTTTGAGCAGGTGATTGATAATAATTCAGTACATACTGCTACATACATATATAATACATATTCATGTACTCGTAGAGCGAGAGTGAGACAAAGACTCAAAAGAGCGCCCATCTGTTTCCATCTTACTCGTGTCTTCATTTTCACTACATAACGCGTCCCCTAGTGTTGTCAATGATGACTTGATTTTTCTCCTTCTCTCTGCTATTATTTTATAATACATTTATATATATGTACATCCCATATTATGAGTAGTCCTTCTCAATAACTCGCGTCTGCTAGATCGAGTCAGACACCATGTGCCATGAATCAGTAACACTCTGAGATTCCTTTGCCCTGCCGCCAAGTTGCCTGTATTTTGCCACTACACTCAGATTTCTCTCTCTCCCTCTCTCTCTCTCTCTCTCTCTCTGTGTGTGTGTGTGTGTGTGTGTGTGTGTGTGTGTGTGTTCTCAAATGGCTAAGTAATCTGAGAGAGGAGAAGAGAAGAAGAAGAATATTTTCGTCGTACTAGTACAACCACCATGCCACACAGAGAGCCCGTCCATTCCAGTCTGCTCACAAGCATACCGACAAACTATCATCAGCACATGATATACCGTACTACTATATATGTATACCAATAATTCTATGCTCATTACGGGGTGGTGGTGTGAGAATATACGGATAGCTGATGCGAACGCGACCGAGTCGACCGCCACATAGGTCCGCGGCCACGCAGACATCCCTGTCGTATCAAATACCGTTGTGGAGGGGTCGTCGGCTACGCTTTCACCCAAATGGTGTTTCTTCGTACATGTACTTTGGTGTTTGTGTGTCTGTGTGTGTATCTATGTGTGTGTGTGTGTGTGCGTGCGTGTGTGCGTGTGTGGGAGACGCGTCTGGTGCGGCCTTGAGAGCAATTGAACCATACCACGTCCCAACCACCCACCACCCCAACCTCTCTCCCTCTGACCCCCACGCTCCCTCACGCACACATTTCCCCCCTCCATCTCTCTGTATTCCTGGCAATCGTTGCCTACAAGTACCAAACACGCCGTATTTTAGTGCGTGCGATTCTTGCTCAGGGCACATCGTCTTCGCAGAGAGTCCATCTGTTTTCCGAGGTCCCATTTTTTTTCCTTCCCTTTTACTCAATGCAGTAACTCATCTGCCGGCGCGCGCGGCCCCTCATTCTCCTCCCTCTCCTCCCCCCCCCCCCCCCCC